AATAAACACAGGTCTATTAGTATAATATAAGTGCAATAAAACTGAATATTATAACTGCATAAATGTTACTAATGAATAATCGGTTATTTTACTTTCATAAATATAACATGTAATGTAACATACAGGGTGAGGAAAAAGTATGGAAACCCTGAAAAATTTCGAAATATATAAATTTTATAGAAAATTGTTTCGAATAAAAGTTGTGGGGTTTAAAGAGACCTATTTACTGATCTTATCAATTTGGGTTTGGATGGCGTCGCCAAGATCACCTTGAATTTTTTTAATGGAAACCTATTTTTTATTACATATGTTATATCATAGTTATATTCTATATAGCAAATGATTGATTCAATTTAATCAAAATACAGACTCTTTAATATTAAACAAAATAAACACTAATCTGATCGAGTAGCAATTAAGAGTCAGCGCGGGAGATAGTGCGCGTACAATATTTGTGATTTATTACAATAAAACACTCATCGATTTACATAGACGTTTCGACCCCTTTTTTTGGGGTCTTCATCAGCATAATATTTAAAAAAAAACCAAAATCAAACATATGTCATATTATTCGCAATTAAGCAGACTTAGCGCAATGGAAACTGAGAATCATTGGAAAAAACGCAATTGTTATGTTAATCGGAAACTAATTTCTACATGTTTACGATAATAGACTCGCTGTGGAACGATACCAGGGTCACGTAGATATGTCATCCATGTTATAAATATTATTAGATGTTTGAGTATTCTCCTCCATCCTCGGTTGACAAGCCAAGAAGTATGAGAATTAATCTGGATTAATGTGACATGCTCTTGGGTTAAAGATCGTGCTTCCTGGGATTAACAAGGGTGGAGTGAGCTATCCGACATGGATCACGATATTAATTGTTTAACTGACCGCATTAAATAGAAATTTAAATTATGAACCCCCACTCGTGACGGGGAAACAATTATACAGTTAAAATGAAATAAAGAACTTAATTAAATATAATTAGGTATAACAGGCCTGTCTAACCGTCAGGAGCGGAGGAGCAACCGATCCCACTCTTACCGCTTTAGACTTCCCCCACCATCGCGTGTTTCCGCAGCTCACAGTCTCGACGCGCAGCGTCGTAAACGTTCTTATTTACGCATAAGGCAGTAAAATTGACGATTGGACGTGTCAAGCAATGAATTTATAGGTAAAAGTTAATATTTTTGTTAAATATGCATAAAAGGTTACACCTCACCGATTTTATTGCCACTTAACTATGTTGTAGGGGAGGTTCTTCTGAGTAATCCGCCGCAAGAAAAAAGTGGGGGAAAGCATTTGTTTAGAACAATGCTCGGATTTAGTTGCACATTTCGGCTTGATTCCGTGGCTCACGCCTATTGCCCCCCACTCACCGCTCATACGTTAGCGACGAGTCGCCAGATACGCGTAACTAAGGAGCGCGACGCTTTGTCTCAGGAGCGTCCGTATATAAGAATGTCCAAATATAATAGTAAGACAATACTTTTCTAAATGCACCGCGAAAATTCTCAAAATTAAAAGTTTTTCTTCAATATTTTATATCAATGAAATATAAAATATTGAAGAAAAACTTTTAATTTTGAGAATTTTCGCGGTGCATTTAGAAAAGTATTGTCTTACTATTATATTTGGACATTCTTATATACGGACGCTCCTGAGACAAAGCGTCGCGCTCCTTAGTTACGCGTATCTGACGACTCGTCGCTAACGCACGAGCGATGAGTGGGGGGCAATAGGCGTGAGCCACGGAATTGGGCCGAAATGTGCAACTAAATCCGAGCACTGGTTTAGAAGATATGACAAATTAAAGTTTGACATTACAGTTTGTATATGCTGTAATAATCTGTTATTTTTTTATTGAAAAAGGCTTGCGACTTTAACGCGTGGGCGGGGAAGGGGCGGAGCTTCTCCCCTGCACCCCCACCCGAAAAAATTCCACCCCAAAGCTACAATTTGGGTTATATAACGTAATCCAAACCAAATTTTAGTTTTAAATCAGAAATAGGTGTGGGTTAGGTTATTTCTTCCGGAAGTTGAGCCCCCCGTAGGGGGGGGGCGGAACGCACTGTGTTCACGCATATTCTTTACAACGCGAATCGAGATCCACCCCACAATTGTTGTGTGGATGGAAAAGTGTATGCATGGATGCAGTGAGTTCCGCCCCCCCCCCCCCTACGGGGAGGCTCTATTACCAAAAAACTAGACACATAGGTTTGGGTTGAACCTTGCTTTGCGTGGAAAATTGTAAATCCATGTGGAACATTGTTTCGCGTTGTAAAGTATATGCGTGGACACAGTTTTAAAGCAAAGTGAGATTCTACATGGGTTGTACATGAGTTGAATCTCGCTTTGCGTGAAAAGTTGTAAACTCATGTGGAATTTCACCATACTATACTAATATTTCAACATAAAATGAATGCAAACTTTGTAGTAATTTGAAATAAATTTTATGTGAAATCAACATATTTTTAATAATAAAACTTAGAAAAATGTTATTGATAGTCTGTACTCATTCTCACTTTTATTATAGAATAAAATCAACATTTTTTTCTATAAATTTTAACAGATAAATCTTGTCAATAATACGAAACATATCTATTGTGTAAAATGAAAAATATGTGGACATTGTGTTAATTGTACACTTTTTTTCAGTTGTTCTAATAATTCAACATTTGAGTTTAATTAACACAACAGTAATATATTTAATTAATATATGAATGTATTAAATATTGAACAGAAGCATTTTAACCAACATATTTTTTTTAACAAGGAGACTTTTCCAAACTGAACAACGAGAAAAATTTTCCAGCTGTGTATTGATACAATTACTTTAAATTACTTTAAAATTACTTTAAAATTACTTTAATTAATACAACTACTTTAAAAATTTATATATTTATAAAAAAATTTATGAGAAAAATATTACAAATTATACAAAATAAATTATATTTTTTTAAATAAAATAATATTTACGAGAATTATAATTTAAATCACAATAAACAATAATATTTTCTCAAAACTGAAGACTAAATTTGTGACAAAAAACTTATCTGACAAAAAAATTATCTTGTAAGTAGAGAAAACGAACTAGAAAATAAAAAAGGATCGCCCACTTTATAATATAAACTACATAAAATTGTTTAAAATATATAAAATATTTGAAAATATGCAAAAAATATGCAAATATGCACGAAATATGCAAATATGCACAATATATGCAAATATGCACAAACATGTAAATATGCACAATTAAATATGCATTTTTAGAATGCTTCTTGGATAAAACATATTTCTATTTTGATCTTACTTCCCAATCTGTTTTCTAAAAAAATATGCAGTTACATAAAAATCCGATGTCTAATAATTATACAGTTTCACATGGGTTTGCAACTTTCTGTGAGAAGCGAGGTTCAGCCCATATCGCCGTGTGTCTCGGACACGAAATGTGATTTATAATTATACAGTTTCACATGGGTTTGTAACTTTCTGGGCGAAGTGAGGTCCGTGTTGTGTCACAATATTGTGTGTGTATACTTCTTTTAGTATTAATGTAGAAAACTATTTGTTACTAATTAGATGTATTTAATAAACTTTTTTTGTTAATAACTTTGTAATAAAAAAGGAGTAACGCTTAAAACCTTTTGGAGAATACTCAGGACAGTGACCTTGACAATATTTGTCAAGGTCATTGACATTTGAAGGGGCTGTCCTTATGTAAATGTATGTGTGTTTGTTAATTTGTAAGATTTTAACATATAAAAAAAATTAACACATAATTTGCCGAAATTATTTTTTGGTTTTAATGACTTTTTAAGTTCTTACAAAGACGATGCTCAATTCGATGGGTCACATTCAGAAGAATATCTATATATACAGGATGTCTGGTAAAGATTGTGCCAGCGCTCGTGAGCAGATAGAGCACAGTAAACTGAACAGGAAAGTCCTGTATCATGTTTTTCTATAACGCTTAGTAAAGGAATTATTATTGAGTAAAGTCTGACCAAGTTCAGCGCCGACTTTTAGCCGCGCGCCTGGTAGTGTGCGTGAGCGCTCCGTCGCTACGGTGGCGCACACTATCGATGTGCGTTCGGCTAAGAGTCGTCGCTGATTGGCCAAACTTTACTCGATAATAATTCCTTTATTAAGCGTTATAGAAAAAAATTATACAGAACTTTCCTGTTCAGTTTACTGTGCTCTATCTGCTCACGAGCGCTGGCACAATCTTTACCAGACACCCTGTATATATATAGTGTCCGTCTATAAATGTCCGAGCAAATCTCTCACAACTGATTGAAGTTACAAGAAAGTTTAAGAAGAGAAATTAGCACAGTTTTTAGTCCGCAATACAGCGCATGTAAAAAAATTTTTTTTCTCGTAATCTTTTCTAGTTATGAAGGTCACTATCGTTTTTTTTTTTTAATGGAAGCCCCTATTTTTTATTGTATATTCTTATAGCTCTTCTTGAGATATTTTCAAAACACTATAATAAAGTATTTTTCCATTAAATATTTTTCGAGTTATTTTATATCTTAATCTGACATATTTTGATAAAAAAATTAAATATCTTGTAAAATATTTAGTTTTCGAAAATCTTATTATAAGACTTTTATGTACAGAATAATGAGACAAATCAATTAGTGCAAAAAAAACAAGTATTTGTCAAAAAAAAATTCATTGTAAATAATTACATACTTTTTCTCTTAAAAACAATTATTTTTTTTATACCAATTGATTTACCAGCACCATTTGTTGACGCAAAAAAATTTGCTTTCATACGATAAAAATTTTTTTGTTTACTGAACACGTGCTCGAACAAACAGAATGAATTTCACTTACTGAGTTTAATGAAATTTTTAAAATGCCGGAGTTCTTTTATAAACATCCTGTATAATATATACATGTGTGTATGTGTGTGTGTGTGTGTGTGCGTGTGTGCGCGTGCTTGCGTGCGTGCGTGCAATATAAAATATTATATATTTTTTTATAGGCTTCCTTACGTTCATCAATTGTTACGACGTAAAAGAAACTTCTAAGATGCAGAATATATTTATGTTTGCTAAAATCGGGGCTCTGACGATTATTATTCTGGCTGGGTTAATCTGGCTTTGCATGGGTAAGTTTTTAAATAAATCGTTTGCATATATTGTATTTATACTATATATATAGTATTATATATTCTGGCATATCTTCTGTTAATTAAAGTTTATTATATTAGGACATACAGAAAATTTTGAAAATGCTTTTGAAAACACGAATACCGATCCTGGTAAAATTGCTGTGGCCTTTTATTCTGGAATATTTTCTTACTCAGGATGGAATTATTTGAATTTTATGACAGAGGAATTGAGAGATCCTTATGTGTAAGCTATATATTCTATGAAGAAATAGATGGTTTTCTCCAATATTGTAAAAAGAAAAATTGAAATGTATTGATTACAAAAACAAAAGCTCTGATATATTGTATATAAAATGTCGAGAAGGAATAGGGTTAATAAGAGCTGAGTGCAATAAATAAATGCACTTATATTGTATAAAAATTCTCTTTAATAATAATGAACATTTTGGTCCTTTTTTTAGACCATATTCATTATTTATTAATCGCCAGAAAAATAGTCTCAATCAACAAACAGATACCGAATGTCCTCACCACACATATGCAGCAACTATTGAAAAGTTAACGAAATTTTAAATATTGTGCATCCCTATATATTTATTTTCCTCCCTGTCCCCGCCATATGCGATTTGACGATTATCCATCTTGGTTTGTTTGTATTTAACACTTTGTCAGTATGTTATTTGTATCCTTGTATGCTGAAGATATTCTACAGGAAGTACCGAAACATCTTCATTATTATTTAAAAGAATTTTTACACAATATAATAGTGCATATAGTAAGAACATCAGCTCATGGCGATTGGTTTGATAGGGAATGTTTGCAAGCAATCGACCAAAAGAATTCTACATAGCTTACAATCAAACAAAAGGACACATAGCACTAGAGCAGCAACGAAGAGATACACTGAGAAGAGAAGGGAAGCTAACAAAGTTATATGTTGCAAGAAACGAGAACATGAAGATAACTAGTTAAGGGATCTCGAGGGTGAGAGTAACAAGAAAGAGATATGAAGATTCTATCAAAGAGTAGCCTACAAAGGAGAGGTTATAAGTCCAACATCCATTTTTGTAAAGATAAAGAAGATAACATACAAACACAGATAATATAAAACAGCGATGGGCAGAGTATTTTAAGGAACACCTCGGTGAAAACAATAACCTGGAGACTGCTAAACAGGAGAGGAGACTAACACGACAGGAGAAAGACGATGACGATAAAGAGGGAATGCCTCCGCCGGGCATGTATGAAATACGAAAAGCCATGAAAAAACTAAAAAGTAACAAAGCGCTTGGACCAGATAATATCGCACCAGAACTGATGAAATATGAAGGCAAAAGATTAGAGTGAGATGTAAAAGCTCATAACTAAGATCTGGAGCGAGGAGTGCATGTCAAGGAACTGGAATCAAGGTTTGATATATCCTATAAGAGGGACGATAGATTGGAAAGCAATAATCATAGAGGCATTAGCCTCCTAAACACTGGATATAAGATTCTGTCTTCCATCTTGTGTGAGCGTCTGAAAGAATTCGTCGAGAGAAGCGTAAGGTCATATCAATGTGATTTTATGCTTGGAAGGGTAATAACGGATCAAGTTTTTGCCCTAAGGCAAATTCTGGAGAAAACTCGTGAGTACCGAATAGACACGCACCATATGTTTATAGACTTTAAGATCGCCTATGACAGCATAAACAGAGAAAAATTGTTTGAAGCTATGACAGAACTTGAGGTTCCTCAAAAATTGGTTAGGTTAGGTTATGCAGGATGATATTGGGAAAAATATGGAATGTGCGGTGAAAATTCCATCGAAATTTATCGGAGTTATTCAATATGCGCATATATGCGTCATTACCAGTTTCGGCACGAAAATTTTAGGCGCACATATGCGTCATTACCAGTTAACTGGTTAAGCGATTTACATGTGTGCATATTATTTTTCGCCCTATTTTGATATTATAATTAATATCAGAAATTTTGTCAGTAATTATGTATGGTCCAGTCCATAAAGAGTCAAGTTTCTTCGAACGTCCTCTCCGAACTGTTTCATCATGTAGCAATACTTTATCTCCTACCTTGAAGGCAGTTTTTTTCGCCTTTTTGTCATAATGGTTTTTTATTTTAATTTTTTCCACTTTCATGTGCTCTTTAGCGATTTGATTTGTCGCTCGTATTCTTTCCTTTAATTCCTAGGCGTAATCGTCGTAAGTATACGTAGGTTTCGGTGGTGTTGTTAGCGCTGTTGGTAAGGTTGCTTGATGTCCGTATACTAGTTCGAAGAGTGAATCTTGTTGCCATATGGAGGATAATATTGTATGAGAACATGGCGTAAGGTATCCACTCGTCCCAGTGTCTGGTCGGCATTTATATAGTGTCGTAAGTACTCGGCCAGTGTGCGATGTGTAAGCGTTCTAGCGCACCATTACTTTCTGGATGGTATGCGGTTGTTTATATTTTTTCTATTTTTAATAGTTTGCACATGTTTTTGAATATATTGTTTAAAAAGTTCGTGCCTTGATCCGTTAGCACTTTGTCAGATTCCGTGTTTGAATATTATTTTAATTACGAATTCTTTTGCTACGGTGGCGGCTTCTTGATTAGGTAAAGCAGGCCTGTCTAACTACCAAGAGCGGAGGAGCAATCGATCTCACTCTTACCGCTTTAGACTTCCCCCACCATCGCGTGTTTCTACAGCTCACAGTCTCGACGCGCAGTGTCGTAAACGTTCTTATTTACGCATAAGGCAGTAAAATTGACGATTGGACATGTCAAGCTTTCTTTTTGACATGATATTACTAAAATGTTATAAGGTTAATAATAATAGTAGGGATACGAATGTTATTTAAAGTTGTAGTAACATGGATAAATAATGTGACGTGATATAATAATAATATAGTAATATTAATAACATTGCTGCAGGACTTTCTTATTTAATTTTTTAACTTTAGGGATCTCAAAAAGCTTTTTGGTAAATATGCATAAAAGGTTACACCTCACCGATTTTATCGCCACTTAAATATGTTGTAGGGGAGGTTTTTCTGAGTAATTCGTCGCAAGAAAAAAGTGGGGAAAAGCATTCGTTTAGAAGATATGACAAATTAAAGTTTGACATTAAAGTTTGTGTATGCTGTAATAACCTATTATCTTTTTATTGAAAAAGGCTTACGACTTTAACGTGTGGGCGGGGGAGGGGCGGGGCTCCTGCACCCCCACCCCGAAGCTACAATTTGGGTTATATAACGTAATCCAAACCAAATTTTAGTTTTAAATTAAAAATAGGTTTGGGTTAGGTTATATCTTCAGGAAGTGGAGCCTCCCCGTAGGGGGGGGCGGAACCCATTTTGTCCACATATATTTTACAACGCAAAGCGAGGTCCATCCCACAATTGTTGTGTGGAGAGGAAAGTGTATGCGTGGATGCAGTGGGTTCCGCCCCCCCCC